AAGTCAATTTCACTTTAAAAATTTTCGAAAATTAATATTAGTATTCCCCAAGTCCAAAAATAAGGCTTTAAAATGTATTTTAGGAAATTTATATTTTATTTGCTTTATTTTCAAATAATACCGTGTTATGTAATAGACAGGTCTTATTTTGTTTTGCGACGTCTTTTTTCCAGAGATGTGGAGTCGGAGTCATGGTGTCGGAATCGGAGTCGGGTAGATTTTTTGGTAAAAGGAGGCGGAGTTGGAGTCGCTAAAAACGCTTCGACTCCGACTCCAATTTTTGTTAAACAGTTTGAATTTGAAATGAAATTAAAGTGAATTGAAAAACATTAATGGCAAAATGAGTTAATATTTTTATTTATGGACTATTAATAAATAGTTAGTTTCTATTTTATTGACATATTAGTAAATAAATATAAAGGGAGCAGGATGGATGTGATATTTGACCATTATTGATTAAACTGATTCATTTAGTTACTAATCTCATTACTGAATTGAAATAAGCAACAAAACTCCCAAAATTGATGCCATCTTAGGAAGCGAGCAGAGAAAGGAGCAACGCAATGGAGAAGTACATATTTGATGATATAGTGGTTGTTAGAATTAAGAACGTTTTCAGAAGATGTAAATAACCCTAATATTTCACTAACAGAAAGACTGTGGAATGATCTTGCAGAACTGGAAATCCTTCTTTCAACACCGTGTATAGCCACCAAAAAGCTACAATCTGAAAAATTAACAAGAGGCAAGTCTGCAAGAATGCGATGTTTGTTCTTTATGAAATGGAGGGTTTATTGCAGAAAGAATCATTTCTTCGATGAAGAAAAGATAAACTAGTTTGCTAGACAAGAATCGCGCTAAGTTCAACATATGTAGATCCATAACGCCGAATTTTCTTGGATGACGAACAAATGAAAAAGGCAAAGAAAGTCATCTATGAACATATACGTATATGAAGGAGTCGGAGTCATTTAAATTCCAAGAGTCGGTCATTTTTCCTACCGATTCCACAGCCCTGCTCTTTTCCACCCTCAAAGTGTCTAATGAGGTAGGAACTCCAACTTCCACAACATGGGCTCTGAATTTTGCGAATAATTTAGACTTTGGTGTTTTTGAATTTGTATTTACCTTCATGCATTTGTCTCTTCTTCTAATATGAGGTATGGCATTACAAAACATATTCTAAAAGCAAGTGTAGCATGCTAATTTACGCATAGCGGAAAGGCTACGAAACATTCAAGTTGGCCAGTTCTGTTTTTAGGTCCTGAAATGCGGGAGAATAAACCACCGCTTCCGGAAATCGATTCTTCGTAGGCTTACTCTCCCATTTTACCTGACTACCTCTTATAACATACTGTTCTTATAATGTATGAGAAAATAATTCAAATCTTGAAGATCTTGGTAATGTAGAAGATTGGTTAAATGTAGAAGAACCTAATGGAATGCGGAGTGACTTATCGCTGAGTTCTCGTGTATAACAACAAAGTCTCGAGAAGGGTTAAAATATTATTTTATTCATTTATTCAAAGAAATAATAACAGATGACCTCTTTTTGGGCATACAGTGAAGCCTCCAATCAGGTTTTAACTCAAGGTAAGAAATATAAGAAACTAATCTAATACTAAATTAAACTGACTTCTGCCGAAGCTAGACACAAATACCTAACGTTAGTTGGCCCTTAATTTAACCTTACAGGCGATTATCAACAGCCACATAAAATACGGCAGAGTCTAATAGATTTAACAACGAAGCAGCCTAAGGGCAAACATGCGTCACTAAAGACTCCAAAGTTCTCCCTACTTGAACTAAGCTGAGCCTTCCTTCAATACTCCTTCTAACGTATTTGCATAAAACGCGATGATGAAAACACGTTCTGGTAGAGAATAATAGATGGGAAACGTAAATAAACAATAAAGAATGTTTAAATTTAACTGTTATTAACTTAAAGTAAGATCACCAAGTTAAAAAAAAATCTTTAACTTATAATTTCAAAATTTTAAAAAAATTTAAAAAATAAAAAACACTGCGAAAAAAATGTGGGCCAGTTTTATATCTCTCGTTCTTCTAGGCTGATTGAGGAAATTCAAGTTGCGTTTTTCATGGCTCGAAAGCGCGACTTAGGATAAGTATTAGATTTATATATAGCATTGTTCTAATATAGGTATTTTGACACAAAATCGGACTTTTTCTGAAATGACGTGCCAGTTTTTTTTTACATATTTTGATTCTACGAATCAAATTATGCAAAACTGCCAAGCTTTGTAAAAATCGCAAGAGTAGTTTTTAAGAAATTAGCTCTCAAAACTTTATCTTCTCAATGTTAATTGATTTTGATATACATATACTAATTTCTTTATATTATTTTCTTCTTATAATTTTATAATACTTGATTCCTTTTTCCAGAATTTAAGAAATAGTTTTTTTTAAAAAGAAAATAGTTTTTTAAAAATTTTTCGAAAAATTTTCAATTATAAAATGTTTATCATCATCTTAAAGTAGATTTATTTCTAAGCTTGCCTACAAAACTATTAATGCTCTTTATTCAAAATTTAATAGGATGTACGTGAATTTACCTATTGGGGCGTTTGGAAATTTTTCTTATTTGTTGTAAGCCATAATAACGCTAAATATGGTTTATGTACTTTGTTAAAATTATTTGAAACGATGAACGATGACTTTTTTCTGCTCGTTTAAACTATTCGCGACGCAAACTTAAAAAAAAAAAAAAAAAAAAAAAAAAAAAAAAAAATCGCTGAGATAAATTTTTTAACTTCTCCGTAAATTTCGCACCAAATTTTACAAAACTTAATATTCAGCCATAATTTGAGTCGGAGAAACCGAATATGGTAAAAACGCGGTATCATTTCAGAAAAAAAAAAGAGATTTTTTGTCGAAATACCAGTGTTAGAATGATTCTATATATAAATCTAATATACATACTGTGTCTCGCTTTCGAAACATGGTAAACGAAATTTGAATTTCGTCAATCGGCCCAGTAGGACGGGAGATATTGAACCGTCCCCTTTTTCTTCCGCAGTGTACATCGACAGGTGTGGTGGTGTATTTAATTATGCCAAAGCACACTAGGGCTATCTGCATAACGGGAGGGATGCCTTCGTGGAGGACTTTCTAAGGGAAAATGGCTCATATACACGTCATAGGACAAACCACGGAAAAGCCCATGCAGCCAGTCCGTTCGTTTGGATTCGAACCCAGGTCAGAACTACCAGTGTTCAGCGATTTTACCGCTCGGTCGCTGGTACGCTGTCATCGAACATGAAACTGTGTATTACTAGAATTCATAACTTTGATAATCTTATTTGATTCATAACTTTGATACACGTTACACATGGGGAAAACTACGAAAACACCTATGCAGCCAGCCCGTTCGCGGGATTCGAACCTCGGATCGAACTACCAGTGTTCGGCGACTTTACCGCTCGGCCGCTGGTGGGCCTGTACATCGACAGGACATTGTAGAGAGCTAGTTGGTTATCTAGGGAAAATGAAACCAATTCACATTTTGCCATGGTCGAAATAACTTTACTGGTGATAGCTGTAAGAAAATCGCTGTGGATGGAATGATGGACTTGCAGACAAACGTAGTTGAATTCAACATAATTTTATTATTGAATAAAAATGTTCTGGAGACTCAACATTTGCTTTACACATGATTATGGATGCAAGAGGCATCACAGAATTTTGTATACGGAAATCTTGCCCAACTGCTGAGCAGGATTAAAACAAAGCACTCTAAGATATAAATACGATATACGCTCTCCCGTTTGCTAATTAAAGGACGTATCTTTACTGGGCTGCTTCCATTCATTATTAGAAATGCAATATGTCATAATTAACTCTGTGGGTGCAGATTGCCTATTATGTTGCATCATGATCTAGGAGGTGTCGAAATAGATTAATCGCATAATAAAATATATTGAAAAACCTAAAATTATTTAAAAATACAAAATTTTAAAATAAATCATAAAAAATAGGAAATTTCATTTGGAATGAAAATAAATTTAGAAACAAGAAAGGAAGAATCAAATAAGTTTAGTAAAACAAAAGGTATTAACAAATATATACAAAGTCAATTAACATTGAGTTAGATAATTTTGAGATAATAAGCTAAAATTTTGAGAGCAAGTTTTTAAAAGCTACTCGTGCGATTTTTTCAAAACTTGGCAGTTTGGCATAATTTGAGTCGTACAATCGATAGCAGTCAAAATGGATATTTTCGTTGAAATATGATGCCTGAAGTTTTTCGCGATTACAATACTTCCTTTTTACTTCGTACAAGGAAGTAAAAAAAAAGGAAGGAAAATGGGTTGCTATAAATTAAGAAGTTCGCCAAGTGAATTATTCTTGGCGCACACTGAAAAAATTCTCCAAGATAAATTTTTGAATTTCTCCGTAAATTTCGCACCAAATTTTGCAAAATTTAATATTTAAGCATAATTTTAGTGGTAGAATTGAAATACGGAACACAATTGGCTCTTGACATTAAAGCTCAATTTTGTGTCAAAATACCTATATTAGAACAATGCTGTATATAAATCTAATACATATCCTGAGTCGCGCTTTCGAGACATGAAAAACGCGAGTTGAATATCGTCAATCGGCCCAGCAGAACGGGAGATATAGAACTGACCCTTTTTTTTTTTTTTTTTTTTTTTTTTTCGCAGTGTACTTGAATTCTGCAAATGGACTTGAGATCTATATAACTTTGGTTCTCAAGTCATCAACCAGAACCATATTTGATCAACCAAACAGCCGATATAAAATAATCTATATATTTGCTCAAGAATAGATACGCTATTATACGTTTTTCAATGTGATGTAAGAAAATTCTTCTGCTGCAGTATTTAAATGATTGGAATTATCGAACATTAGTGTAAAAAGTCTCTATTTAAAGAAGATAAAAATAGAAATTGCATAACACGAAAACATTCAGAATTTTTACAATAAGATTATAAATGTAATAAAGAAATTGTACTCACAATGGACAGCTAATCGCACTGAATACCGCAGAGGTTCCCCGACATCATTGCTTGTTTCACACATGTAATAACCTGCGTCTGATTTCTGGGCAACGGTGATAGTGAGAGATCCATTTTCAAGCACATGGATATGAGAGCTGCTCAAGATACTTTGAAAAGAACCGTCATCTGGAAAAAAAAATTCAATATCAGAGAAAGTTTTAATAAAATATCATTCCTCTTACTTCAGATTTTCTCGAAGCTCGTAAAGCTTCGTGTTCTCAACTCTAGAGGAAAAATATATTACCAAAGTGAAGAATTTTAAGTTAGAGTTCTGGCAAAAATATATTTTGATAACTTATATGGAAGTTTTCGTATAACATTTAAATCACCGCACGGGAAATTAATTTTGAACCGTAACAAGCTATCTGTAATCAAAATTCAGTAATTATACTAAGATAAGTAGACCTTCCAAATATTTTATTTATTATATTCAATTTCAAAAAGTAATTCATGTTAATATATGAAATTAAATAATACCAAATAAAGTAATAATAATAATGTACATTGATTATTATATTTAATTATTTATTTTCACTTAATTTCGATCGATTTATTAATTTTTTGTTATTATTAACAGAAATCAGATTCAAATTATTCATGAAGTTCAAAGCACAGGTAATTAAACAAGTTAAGAAGACATGATAATTATGCACTTTTAAACATGCTATTGCACTATGAATTGAATAAGTTTCGTTTTACTTATTTGATTATAGTAAAAACACTCGGATCATCTGCCTAAGGGGAGGGATGCTTTCGAGGAAGATCTCTTAAAGGAAAACTTGCTCGTATATATGATAACTGGCCACGAAAATGCACATGCAGCCAGCCTGTTCGCCGGGCATAATTCAAGTAAAAGTGAGTTTGTTGTGTAATTTGAAGAAAAAGGCTAGAGGGCGCTGTTGCTCGCTTAGTTGTAAAAGAATAAAGTTTGTTCATGTTGAAGGCGTCGGCCTAAGAATACCTCTGTAATAGTAATTAAAATATTGTTTAAAATGTAAAAGTGTTAAATTTGAACTCACGGAACCACCATTATCGGATTTGGAGATGCACAATACTATTAATGGTGCATCGGAAGGAATTAAGGCTTTGTGAAGATTTAGGTGTTCGATCCAAGTGTTTCGATTTCAATGGATTTTCATACTCGAGGGACATGGAATTCCAAATAAGAGAGGGAATCTAAATTAATTATTTAGTGATTTTTGTAGTACTTAGTAAGTATTGAGTGCTGTCGTGAGTGTATTTAAATTAAATAAAATGGAAGAGAGTTAGATAGATTTGAAACTAAACGGCCACTTGAGACGTCTGTTACGAGGTTAATTAAGTGATTGAAAGAAAATAAAATTGAAGGGAGGAAAATTCGATTAAGAATTACGGGAATATTTGAATTATTACCGAAAAGAAAATAATTTGAGAACGCTTGATGATGATACAGATTTAATTGATTTAACTTAATTAGAAGATTGTAGTATAAGCGAAGAAACAATGACAAATGTATAATTGCTTGTAGTCAAATTAAGCATTTTCTAGATGCGGGTACTGCAGTACCGCCAGCGCAGAATCCCGAAAGTTCTGATTTAAACCAGTTAGTGGTAATGGAATTTTGCATGTAAGTTCCAGTTCTAGTGGGAAGTAGTACGCTGAAATTACCAAAATTAATGATTATAAATTTGGGGGACCCCAAACAATGAATGAATTTTGGAATAGTTCGAAATTCGATACATAAAAACGAAACGCTTCAAAAATACAAAAATTTGTATACTTAAAAACATTCTTAACGGACAAGCTTCGAATGTTTGTCAGGCTTTGAGTTAACAGAAAGTATTGTGATAGTTGTGTAGCTTACTAAAGGACAGATATGGTCGAAAAGACCTATCATTAATCATGAATAAATTCTCAATTTAGAAGCCGTTAAAAATTCTGCTAACGTAAAGGCTTTACGTAAATTATATGACGAATAGAAGTTTCAATTCGTAATTTGGAACTTTAGAAGTAACTTCTGGCTCATTGGACATTTATTAATTCCAATATTATTAATTAATTCCGGACGATTTAGTTTTTGGAATTTAATCGGCAAAGAGGATCAAAGAAAAGTTGAAGTTTCGGAATGAACACAATTTATTAAAACGGAAATAGAATGCAGGAAGTTTCAAATCTAGTATGAAGCGAAAGGAAAAATCCTGTGCCTCCGCGAGTCGATCAATCAAAAGAAACAAAAATATGTAAAAGTACACCACGCTCATTTCATACTGCAGTTAAACCGAAAATGCATCTTTTGATAAGTTTTGCACGGTCATTTAAATGCGAAGAATGTTTCTAATTAAAGAAGATCCGAAAACCGCTGCTTTTCTTTGTTTTAAAAAATTCCATACATCAGAAAGGTGCAGAAATAAAACTAATGTAAACATGTGGCGGTATGTATCACAATGAATCGATTTGTACTAATAATCCCTTGTAAACAAAAAATTGGAACAAGGTTTCCAAAAATAAACTGAATCTCTGACTTTGATTCTGAGGAAAGAAATAAGTTCAAAACTTAAAATTGATTGCTTCTGTTCCTCAGGTGATAATAAATGACGTAATGCCAGGAAATATTATTACAAACTTGTACAGTTTATGCTTGTTCTAAATATAAATCAAAATTAACTAGATTAATTCTTCATCAAGGCAGTCACACATCTTTTATAACGAAAAAATTGGCCGACCATTTAAAACTTACACCAATCCGTTATGAAAGACTTTCGGTTTATTCATTTCGTGTGACCAAGGCAATGAATCATTCCTATCCGGTTGTTAAAATCGAAATTAAGAATTGGAAAAAAAATAATAAAATAAAAATTGAATGTTTGATCTCTGTATGTTATTTCCTCGGCGCCCATCGCCTAATAAACATTCCTCGGTGCCTAGTAAACAAATTGCAGACTTCATGGAGCATCTGGGGGTTTGAAGATGGCCGATTGCTCTAGAAAAAATAACACAGATGTTGAGATATATATTAATTGGCGGGATGAAGTTCTGGAATGTAGTTTATTCCGAAAGAATTAAAAAATATCTGAAGGGTTGTACGCAGTCAGTTCTGTGTTTGGTTGGGTTGCTGCAGGAATTCGAGAAAATAATAATGAACGAACAAAATTGTTTCTGAAAATTTCAGCGGTAATGACAAACACTATTGTGTTGAAGGATTTAAGAGGTTTTTGAGAATTAGAACATATGGGAATTAATGATTCTGATGATTATTTCGATATTGATTGCGAAATAATAGACCAGTTTCAAAGAAATTTGCAGTTTAGAAATGGTAGATATGAGGCAAATTTTATCTGGAAATACAGTCCGAATAGTCTGGGAAATAATTTTAATGTAACTAAGAAACGATTCGCAAACCTTCACTAATAAACTAAGTAAAACTCCGAAGATTTTTCAGGAATATAAAAATATAATTTGAGAACCAGATATTAGAAGGAATTGTGGAGGAATGTCCGAATAATGATACAATTTGGGATATTTTTAGCCGCACCGAGCAGTGATACGACCTAGTGAAACTACTAGGGTAAGAATTGTGTGCGATGCTAGCTCAAGGACAGAGGACACGAATTCGTTAAATAAATGACTGCCTTGAATCGGGACCTAATCTAAATCCAAATATACTAGACATCATGTTAAATTTTCGTAAGTTTAAGATAGCGTTTTTGGAGCGTTGAAAAAGCCTTTTTGATGATAGGAATTGCTGAAGGTGATAGAAAATTTCTAAAATTTCTTTGGTTTAATGAAAATAATGACTGCTTTAAGATTATGCAAATGTGTCGCGTAGCTTTCGGTTTGACTATATCTCCTTTCATTTTTGGCCGCCACTATAAAATATCACATCGAAATATAAAGATAAATGCCGGACAGTTTCCAAATGTTAAATTCTTCTGTCTATGTCGACGACCTATATTTTGGAGCAGAACGGTTGAAGATGCATATCGGTTATCTGTAGATGCGGTTAACTTTAAGGATGCTGGATGAATTTCAGAAAATTAAGGACTAATTCTAAAGCATTAAACGATTTATGGTCTCAGATGGATTTAAGGAATCAGACAAACAATTAACTAGTGAATCGAATTTTTTAGGCATATTTTGGAATTCCATTGAAGACGATATAAAGTTAAATTTAAAAAATTAATTGACTTTTCTACTGGAAATGATTTTGCTACAAAAAGGAAACTTTTGCAAAGTATCGCCCAAATATACGATCCATTTGTATTTATTGCACCCTTTGTTATTCGGCAAAAATTATTATTCAAGAAATCTGGTGTTCCGTTCTGACTGGGATGAGTCATTCCTGCAAAGATTAAGGACAAATTCAACATTTGGCGGGAGGAACTTAATGATTTAACTGAAATATCGATACAGCGAAATTTCTTTGATGACGATCCAATGAATATAAGCCTTCACCTATTTCGGACGCTAGTCCTAAAGCATATGGGACCATCGCATATTCAGATATTGTACGAGTGATTCTAAAATTAAAACTTCCTTTATCATGTCGAAATGCAGGGTTGCACCTTTAAGAGCAATCACTCTTCCTCGTTTAGAGTTAGCAGCACTCGTGGCTGCTCGAATGAAAATATTTGAAAAAATTGTTTGGTGATTTAATTGAGGATGTTTATTTTTGGAGTGATTCCGAAATCGCCATTACTTGGATTAAAGGTTCGCCAAATAATTGAAAACCATTTATCGCCAATCGTGTTACAGAAATACAGAGTATATGCAACAAAAATTGTGGAACTACTGCGAAGGAAAACAAAATCCTTCCGATTTACTAACTCGAGGAATTAGTGCTCAGTCACTAATTAAGAATGATTTGTGGTGGCATGGGCCACACTGGTTACGTTTTCCTATTGAAAACTTTCCAAAACAAAAGAAATTAAAACCAAATTCAGAATCGTGGCGTTAAAAAAAGTATTATTTTGACTGCACCTGTAATTAACATGAATCCCCAATTTTGCATATAGAAAAATTCAGTTCTTTCTTTAGGAAAATTACTTCGAATTACTGCCTATGATTTAGATTTATTGGGTGGCTTCGGAAAAGGTCTACAGGGAATGGACCTTTAACTGCTTTTGAATTAAAGCAGCTGAACATATTGG